AAAAAAAAAAAAAAATAAAGCGTTTGCCTTGTCCCTTCGGGTTTGTCTGGTGGCTTTACAGACACCAGGAATAATTTAATTTTTGGGAAGTGGCGCGTCAAGATTTTAACGTTGGGAAGGCGCAATCGCAAGAGCAAACCGGTGCATTCAGAAAATACGTCTCAATTTGCAAGATTTTTTTAATTTTTTTTTTTAATCTTTTACCTGAAAGCTCAGACGAGAGTCTCACCATCCTTCTTACACCAGTTGCACATCCGACTTGATGTCTCTGCCCCCAGCTCTCCCCAAGCCTTGCCTAGTTGAGCAGCTTTATTGTCTACTTCTCATATTAAACCAGGATTTTACAGCTGGTTGGAGCACTTCCAGTAGGTGCTGTGATGTGGGATCAGAGTTTCGATCTCAGAGTTTATTAGGCTTTTGTTTAAGTCTCTGGTGGATGCCAAAGGCATAAGCTGGTTAAGAGAGTGGTGAGGCAAATTAATAAAAGGATTTAGTTGTATATTAAGCATTGGCTCTATGTTAGAGTACGTATAATAACATTACAAGAAAATGGATTTACATACGCAGCAGATAACGACTGTAGGGGTGAAAACAGTGGTGGCTTAGGCTTAAAACAAGACACCCATAAATTAATACTCCAGGCTTGTAGGTGTATAAAATATTTCCTGATTTAAGAGTAATTTGCTGTCCCAATTCTTGCATGTTTTGGTCGTATCGGTAGCCCTGTATACGTCAGCAGCGATTTTTTGGTGTGAAAGAGGCAAGAAAAAGTGAAGCTGCAAGGTTGCACAAATCTTTTTAGGCTGCCAGTGACGGGGAAAAAAAAAATCCCGTGGTGTTTCCCCCTGGATTTGAAAGACGATTTCACAGCGATGGCACGGCTGACGGCCAGGGAAGGGCAAAAGTCTTTTTTAAAACGTCTGTTGTTGGCCAGGTATTAGCTGTAACTCTTGTTCTTGCTGCTTGGCTTTACATAGCTCTTTTTTTATGCAGTCAAGAGAGATTCTCTCACCTCCTTTTTAAACCTGAAGGGAAATAAGGCAGAGAGGTTAAATGAATTGCCCAGAAAGACACAGTAGGACACGTCTAATTATGTCTCAATTTAGGAGTTCTGGCTCCAGCCCAACAAACCAGCTTGAAAAGAGGGAAAGAAACAACTCTGGGAGGAAAAAAAACCAAACAAAACAACAGCAAATCTAACGCAAATACTTCTGTGAAGCTGTAAATAGAGGAGGTGATGCTTTTTTTTTCGGAATAGGCATTTACTTTTTCGAATGGGTTTGTAGAATACATCTGTAACGCAAGATTTAAGGAAATCTGCTTTTTTGTAATTGCTGCATGATTTGTAACCCAGTTCCCTGCTCTGCTCTTTTTTGTACCTCGTAGTGCTGGTATATAATTTTTTTTATATATATATATAT